AGAGAAGAGAAGGGTCGAGGTGGCGAAGGTTTCTCCGGGTGACAGTGTGACGTGTAGGGGGAGTCCGTGTTGGGGACAGGGTGAGGGTGAAACTGATAAGGTTGTGGTCTGAGAGGGGGAAAGGGGTGTTGGAGAGGTTGCAAGTAGTGCATAGGTGGGAGAAAACAAGATCTAGTATGTTACCATCAGAGTGAGTAGGAGTGTTTGACCATTGTGTTAGATCAAAAGAAGAGGTTAGGTTAAGAAATTGAGCAGAGGCTGGGGTGTTAAAGTCACCAAGGATGATAGTGGGTATTTCTGAGGAGAGAAAGTAGGGTAGCCAGGCAGAGAAGTCATCCAGAAAGCGAGATATGGTCCTGGTGGCCGGTATATAACAGCAATTCTCAGTGAAATTGGAGAGAATAGGCGAATACAGTGGGTTTCAAAAGAGGAGAGGGATAGAGAGGGAGGTGAAGGCAGAACTTGAAAAGTGCATTGAGGAATAGAAGGATTCCCACTCCACCTCACATGATATGTAACATCACATTATGATAGTATTATGCTATTATGCTAGTATACTATTATGATAGTAACATCACAAGTGACATCAGAGCACTTCCTGTCAGTACAAAGGCTGGAACAGAGCTCATGCAGCACTGTCCAGCCTCTCTCTAAGCAGCAGATCACTGCTATAGTGATCTATTGCTGGCTGAGTGCAGGCCACAATAGATCACCATTAGAACTGATCTGTGGCTGCACAGATGCATGGGGGTTTGGACCTGTCCTCCACTGTCAAGATACAGGATTCCCTCAGATTAAAAAAACAAACAGAAAAGGTCCAAAATGAATGACCAAGTCGCAACAATGATGTTGGATGATCTGGATGACATTTGCATGCAATGCTCAAGCATCAAATGCTCACATAAGAAAACACAGAAGGGATTTTATCAAAACTGGAGCAGACAAAATCTGGAGCAGTTGCCCATGGTAGCCAATTAGCATCCACCTTCCATTATCATACCTTAACTGAACAAACTGAAGAGAGAAGCTGATTGGTTGCCATGCTCCAGATTCTTCTGCTCCAGCTTTAATAAATTGCCCCCACTGTCATTTGAATTTTTAGCAATAGCAAACCTATGAAAAAGTCGCCGTTGTGCTGTTTGTGTCCTTGTCAACTGGGCTTTATCAGTCCTAATGTTATGCTAACAATTTTCGCAAACCTTCTTTGCAGTGTAGTGTCAAAATAAAAGAACAAAGCTCTCCTAAATTAAAACACATACGCTCACTTTGAGTGGAATCATCCTGCTACGTAAAGTAAAAGTCGTACTAATGTGGCATCATTTTAAAATCAGCAGACTTTGTCTGATATATTTAGGGGTAAATATACTGCGTTGCACAAATTACATAAATGTTACAAAAGGGAAAAATTAAAAGGACATTGTTTTTTTCTAATTTATTACCATTTATTCCCAATAAAAACCAAGGAAATAATAATATTTGTATACAAATTTGCTACCAAATTAAAGTCCCAAAAAAATTATAAATACTATGGTAGGGTAGACTAAAAAAAACTATGTAATGTGTGTGACCAAGACATCGCCGAAACGGAAAAAATTATCTGGGGTTTTAGGGTAGAGCAGGAAGGGATAGAACTCAGGTTAGATTTTTGTTTCAGTATTCCCAGAGGAGATTTACACCTCATCTCTTGTTTTAACCCCTTCGTGACGGGAGACGTACAGTGTACGTCCCGGCACTTTGTTCCTATATGACTGGCCACGTACACTGTACGTGACGAGTTATATCAGGCTTTGTAATGCTGGTAACTGCTGATTCTCAGCAGTTACCAGTCATTAATGAATGCCTCAGTATTGAGGCATTAATTAATGAAATAATTAAACTTTTTGTAAAAGCTTCTTCCTTTCATTAATGAAAGAATGAAGCCGTTACATACAAATACAGAACCGCAATTTGCGATCCCGTATTTGACAGCTGAAAATAGCAGAGAGGTAGCAGTGACTCACCTCTCTGCTATTTGTTTTGACAGCTCGAGAGCCCGATGTTCAGATACATTTCACTCAAAAGATACAATGTATATCTTTTGAGTGAAATGTATCAGTTCTAATCGTCTATGCACGATCAAAGAGCTTTTAGGGAGATCTGAATCTGACTAAAGTCAGGATCAGTCTTCTAAGGTTATTATTAGCTGTTCCTAAGTTTGGATCAGCCTAATAGCAAAAAAAAAAAAAAAGTAGGTTTTTTTTCCTCATTTTTTTGATTTTATTCAAACTAAGTGAGGGGTTAGGTACACGTATGTGATATAATTATATAGCCCTATATGTCCTCTAAAAAACAATATATAATATGTGTGGGTACATTTAGTAAGAAAGTATATATTACTGTTGTGGAAGAATCACACAGCAAAAATGTAAAAAGTGTGTCAGTCATTTATGAACAAACTGAAAACTAGCTCAGTCATGAAGGGGTTAAAGACACAAGGGGTAGAGTAAGCCATGTCCCTTACTTCCTATTCTATTGGCACAACAGGAAGCAAGATTAAATAGAGCGACAGTTTGCAGGAAGTTCTGTGAGTGAGGGAGAAGCAAACTTATAGGACTGCATGGATCCGATCCCAATCAGTGGATATTTTCCCCTATATTCCTTACCCTTTTCAGCTGCTGCGTCTGGTACTTGTGCCTGAAACTTGAGCTCCCCATTGGGGCCAACATCTGGGGCTGCAGCTGCTCCAGTTTGCTGAGCCTTATGTTGTTCCATCTGAATGACCGCCTGGCAAGAAATAAGAGCCAAATTAATATCTTTACAATATCTGGTGAACAACTTAAGCAAAATTACCACCTATATACAAACCAAAAAAACAAAGATAACAGAGGTTGTCTGAGATCTATTTTTTTTTCTTTTACTTTTTGCAATCACAGAGTGGATAAAGCTATTCAAACTGTAATTATTGGAAGAAAAATGGGTCCCTGCAAGGAAAAGTATGATGGCATTGTCAAGTATACTCTGCTGAACCAGGCAATCACATCACTTCTATAAGATATCTTTAAAAGACTGCATTACTGTAGAAAAAAAATAATAAATGGGAAAAATACCTTTAAAAAAAACTCTTTAGAGTGGCCATATGGCAAATACTCCCATATTATCGCTCTAAGGAAGGGCAAGGGGGAAGGAGCGGTGCAGGACTGGGTGGGGGGGTGGATCGACCTGTTAAGGCTCACTACGACCACAAGCACGCCATCTGCGGGCACAACGTCCTGTAGGATCCAGAGAAGAAGCTCAAATTGACCAAGCTAGCATGGATCTACGTCTATGGTTAGCGTGGTAAAAAAACAAACAACCAGAAGCTCTTTCCTTCTCTAGGGGACTGGAAGGATCACCAGGTACTTACTGCACCGTACACTACTTCTACAAATAAAAAAAGACCACTACTTTGTGAGGCACAAAGGAACGTAGTCAAATACTTTTAAAACGTAGGTTTACATACACTTTAATATTCCTCACTGGTTCCAATGACATTTGCACTAGTTAAGAGATTGGTTTGCTGAAGAATCTTCAACATCCAACATTTCTTGGTATAACGGAGGCCTGCTCCTCAACTGCCAGCCTCTACATCACTATTGTGCTCTAGAGTGATGTAAGGCGTTGGCACAAGAAACAACAGCCTCCTTCTAGAAGTATTGGATGCTGAATATTCTTTAGCAAGCTTTATCTCTTCAAGAGAAGGCAGCAGAACAGGTTACTATTAATTCTTGTCACTTATAATAATTTCCAACTCTGAACTCACTGCCTCATACAGGAAACACAAGAGGTTTTTGCAGTGTAAGCCCTTATTTAGAATCAGCTACGTTGAGACAAGCTAGTTGTTAGGGTAGGTTTTTGTTAGATGACCGTTTTACAATATGGCACCATTTCTATAAACTCACAATTTAATCAGGGCAGCCAAATGTGTACAAGACTCTATATTACAATGAAAATGTAACAGCTGCTGTGCACACACCCTTTGCGGGTTTCAGTGTAGAGTTTACCTGTTGATATTCCTTTTTCTGGGCATCCAGTTCGATCTTTCTCTGTTGAAGAACCTCATGTTCTTTGCGTAGTTCTTCTGCTCTTTGGTTTAAAGCACTTTCCTGAGCAACCAACTCCTGCTCAAATCGTCGCAATTCCTCTTCACTGTAAATCTGGGTTTCCTCCACTGTCTGAATTAAAAGGGATAAAACACATCAATGAGCCAGTTTTTAGTACTAATATGCATTTCCATGTACATACTCTTGTCTCGCAATGACAGTCTGAGCACATTACATAGTTTGTAAGGTTGAAAAAAGACACAGGTTCAATCAATATATATGAATGTATGTACATGTTCTTATGAACATCCATTCCCTGTATATTTTGTGAAATGAGAAACTCATCTACATGTTTTTTTTAAATGATCTACACTCAGCTGATACCACTAATTGTAGAAGGAAGTTCCACATTTTTACTGCTCCGACAATAAAAAGAAAAACCCTTTACAAATTTTAAGATTAAACAGCTTCTCGTTCAACTTCACATTGTGGCCACATATCTTCTTCCTTGGATTAAACAGTTTATTCCCAATACTGCAGCCCCTACTGATAGATTTATATATTGCAATCATATCAACTCTTTAGCACCTCTTCTCTAATGACAACAAGGTAAAGTTTTGTACTCATTCTTCATAACGTTGGCCTTCCATCCCCTTTATTATTATTTTTTTGATTATTATTTCTCGGGGCTCGGTCTAGTTCAAGGACATCCTTGACGATCCTTCCCTAAGTTTTTTAAATAATCCACATCACGTTTTAAAGTGACATTAAACCAGCAGATTTTTTAACATAAAACAATACTGTAATGTGTGCCTTACTGTAAACCATGGTTGTTTCCCTTCCATTTGCTGCTCTTCCTTTTAAATCCTCATGTCTTCTCATGCTGGGGGAGAACTTCCCTTTGCAGCTGAGTGCCTCTTCCTGTAGTGCTGGCTCAGGTTGCAAACCTACACACAGACACCATGTATCCATTTCAGAGACAAGGCAGTCTGCTGCAAAACAGAAGTTCTGCCCAGCATGAGAACAGATACAGATTTAAAAGGAAGAGCAGCAAAGAGAAGGGAAACTGCCATGGATTACAGTAAGGCACACATTACAGTATTGGTTTATGTTAAAAAATCTGAGGGTTTAATGTCACTTTAACTATTCCTTGTTCATGCCACTAGGAATCATTAATAGCCTTTAGAAGTGCCCTATTTCATGACAACACAATGAGGAAGCAAATATGATTAATAGCATTTTAACTTGTTTAACCTCACACCCAAACCACAATGCAGCAGAGGCCTGTCGTATACACCTCACAGGCTTAATCATGTAACTGGCACAGAGGTACGCGGGGTGTGGCAGACTCTGCAGCATAATCGTATAGTACACAATTATACACAAGATTAATGAAGGGTTGAGTTAAATATGTTAAATGTTAGTATCCAAGCAAAGCTACCCTGTGTGTATCCAGTCATTTGAAAATTGCACTTTTTGAGGGTCACCTTGATGCTTTAAGTTTTCCCTCTTTCAAAGTACTCATACAGTTAATACAATGCACATCCTCTACACACCCTACAAGTGACAGGAGATTCTGTGTCTCTCGGATCTCCCCCTTATCCTGGGTCACATTTACTCTCTGCTGCCCCAAGTCCAGGTTCCCAAATGTCCCCCCTACCTTTCTTCTCTTTTACACATATGACTGCTAGACCAGATAAAAAAGACATTGGGGGAAATTGGATGTGCGGGGTTACCGAAGATGCGCGGCGTCACCAGGGATGTGCGGCGTCACCAGGGAAGTGCAGAGAGCACATGTGCGGTGACACCAAACAATTTCCAGTGACCCCGCACATCCCCAGTGATGCCGCACATCCCCAGTGACACTGCACAGTGGGGGGGATCTATCGAAACTGGAGCAGCTGTACATGGCAGCCAATCAGCTTCTCTCTCTCATTTTCAAATCTTAACGGAACGAACTGAAGAGAGAAGCTGATTGGTTGCCATGGGCAACTGCTCCAGATTCTGTTTGCTCCAATTTTGATCAATTTCCCCCAATGTCTTTTTATCTGTTCTAGCAGTCATATGTGTAAATGAGAAGAATGGTGGGGGGAGGGAGGGGGGACATTGGGGAACCTGGAATTGTCTCTCCACAGAGCAGAGAGGGGAGGGGGGAGGAGGAGAAACAGCTGATTGCAGTTTAGAGATAACAAACCCAACCCTGTGAGAGAGACAGATTGAAGATATTGTGGAGGAATTTTTAACTTCTAGGCCTCTGGTCTGTAAAAGAATCTATAAAATAAAGTATGAAATACAGCCCTGTGACTCCTAAGAATGCACATGCAAAACTGTAAAAAAAAAATTTACACGGTGTGTTGGTGTTTGTGTTGTGATAAAATGATACAGGCGTATATTTATTGCAACACAAAGATCACAACGCATGGCAATGCGTCACAAAGCTTTACCATGCGCTGCCACAGTTAATGTAATTTCTTTTTAAAGAAAAAAATACATTAAAAAAATCATGCACTGCGATGCGTTCTAACAACGCACTGCAGCGCATGTGCATGGCCTACACCTCAATATGTGTATGTTATGTGGGGGGAGGGAGGGGTTGTGCTTTTTTTTATTATTTTTTTTGTACACATTTTTTTATTTTATTTATTTTGTACATTTTTATTTTTTTTACATTTTCTATTTAATTTTTACAATTTTTTTTTACTGTTGGGGGGCTGCGGGGAAATATCTGGGGTCTAAATAGACCCCTGACATTTCCCTTTTGAAATAGAAAAAGAAATTGAGGACATAAGTCCTCACTTTCTTTTTCTGCAGCCCCAGCACTCAATGAATGAGAAGCCTCAGTACAGAGGCTTCTCATTCATTCACAAACTAATGATAGTAAAAATATTTTACTTTCAATTGTTTGTTTCCTGTATCTTACATTTTTAGAACAGTCTGAACACAGCAATCCCCACTGATTGCTAAATCAATCGATATCTGCAGTCATGACAAGCCTTCTCTACTCTGTTCCAATCTCCCCTCTTTCAAATTATTATGTGCCCCAAAATAGCTGGACCTAGCCAGGTATTTCTATGTAAAACTCTTCAGTCTGGGCCCATTCTGGCAGTCTGTACCCTCCTGTCAGCGTTTGTCTGTATTGTTTAGTCAGTTAGTATCTGTAAAGTACTACAATTCATGTCATTTATTTTCAGGAATATCCATTACCTCTAAGGTCTGTTGCACCTTGCATTTATATGGGAACAGAGCATGGGGGTGGATCCTAATATTCCTATACTTTACAGTTATAGCACATACATGATGATCTTTTGGTGCCATGTATGTTATGCAATGAGCTTCCATATTGTTCAATTTCTTACCTGCCAGCCATCAGGGTTATTGAAATCCTTATTCTCTGTAGATTTCAGGAACTCTTCCAGTGTTACCAAGCGATCATGATTTGCATCCACCTGAAAGAGAACATTGTTTGATAATCTGTATTAATCGTGTTTATTGCACATATAGAACCAAGGTTTCATTTACCACCAGGGCTCCATCTCTCAGGCGTGCTTATAATATTTATTGGTGGGTTAAACTGGTTACCGCTAAAATTTACGCGACTATTACTGTACTGGGAACTTTGAAGCGTAGGCACCTCTTGGCCAGGGACAGATGTAAATGGTCTCCTGTTCTCTGTAGAGTGCTGCAGAACATCCTTGTATTACATATGAGCAAGTCGATGGGTGCATTGCTGACCTGCTGCTAGATAAAGGAATAAGGGAAAGCCAACATGAACTGGCATTCTTCGCTCAACATGAATGTGCGATTGTTTACTATTCAAATGAGTGACACAACCAAAGTCTACAACCAGAGTGCACTATTTCTCACCCGCCACATTGTGTACCAGAGCAGTAATCCTATGTTCTAATAAAATGGTGGATGCTGATTCACCACAGCATTTTCACATAATGAATCACTTTTTTAATTAGTAAAATACATAAACCAATCATCATTGTTATTACAATGTATCAGTTAAATTCTCAAGCAGCTACTCTGGCTGGCCATTGACAGCTAGTCAAAATAGCGAACTGCCTGATGATGATTTAAGTTTGGTCAACCACCTTTCGTTCTTATACTGGAGGCTGATATATTGTAAACTGTATATGG